ATGGTAACATATATTTCATTAAAAAATAAGCAACTAAAGATCCTTAGGAGAGAAGATGATAGATGATAGATAATCTTTAGATTAAGAAAATGTTCTAGAAATGAGAAATCAAACTCTTAAAACAGTTTGACACAAGAGTAACAAGTTTCTAGAAACACACACACATATTGATAACAAAAGATGGAAGCCACCCAAATGTCTATCGACAGAAGAATAAACAAACGTAGCAGATACATACAGTAGAATATTATTCAGCCTTAAAAAGGAGGGAAATTCTGAACACATGCTACAACATGGATGAACCAGGACATTATGCAACATGAAATAAGCCAGTCAGAAAAGGACAAATGCTGTATGACTGCATTGCAGTTACGTGAGGTATCTAGAGTAGTCAAATTTACAGAAGCAGAAAACAAATAGTGGTTGCCAGACACTGGGGGGAGGGGAAAATCGGGAATTATTGTTTAATAGGTACAGAGTTTCCGTTTTGCAAATTGAAAAGATCCTGGAGATGAATGGTGATAATGGCTGCACGACAATGTGAACGTACATAATGCAGTGAACTGTATACTTAAAGATGGTTAAGATGGTAAATTGTATGTTCAGTGTATTTTACCACGATTAAAATTTTTTTAATTAAAAAACCATATTGATATGAAAATCACAATTAAATGTGAGTTTGACAAACATCTTTTCTGGTTTGCATTGCTAGGACAAAGAGCGCCATGTAAGTGAGCACCGTGGTGTAATCTTTAACCTCAAACATTGCCCCTCAGTTTCATCTGTCTTTAACTGATTTTCTTCCACCCAGGTATTCTTCAAGACTAGCATTTAATAAGACAGAGTATTTTCTAATGAGTATCAGCGATGTCCAAGTACTCCCTAAGTTCCTAAATATGATAGCATTGGCTGTTTAATTTAACTTAAAGGTGATGACAACATGAAAGTCTTATCTATATGGCTAACAAATCCCATATCTTTCTTCTGCTCTGCATTTTTTACTGAAAAGTAAGGAATGGATTTCCTCAGACAATTGGGCAAAATGTGATGCTCCCTTCCTTTGCTACTTCAGGGTGATATGGATCCTGGCATACAGAGATTGCCTGCGAGAGAACCGGCAGAGTTGCAGTGACAGTGTGGGGAAGTATGGTGAAAACTGGGTGTAAGAACAAGTGGAAAATAAAGCCAGGTGGGTTAGTTTCTCTCTTCATCTGCCAGGGATGCTTTATTGCTGCCGGGAGAAACCCGCTGAGGGGGAGGTCACATGTAAAACCAATCAGCAGTGCACATGGGGATTCCTCGTAGTCTTAGTAACGTTGTATGTCTCTAACCCTGAGTGAAATTCTTTAAAATTCAGAAAATTTTAAAGAAAGGATCCTTTTCTTTGACCATATATGTGTGTATGGTTTCTTTATCAGGATTCAGTTGCTGATAACAGGAACCACTCTAGTTTAGACACAATGTGCTTGGATGTTAACCTCTGGCCATTCGCAGGACCCCATCACAGAACAGGCTGGTCAGAAGAGCTGCTATCTCTGCTTACAGCCTGGAAGCTGGAAATCACAACAGTGCTGCCTAGTTACGGGTTCCAGAGCCCCATTACTTTAGCCACAATCCCCACCCACAGATTGGATGCCCCATATCCCGCCACACCCTGGGACCTCTGCTATTGCTATTCCAGAAAAATCAAATGCTCCATGGCTATTTGTTGGCAGAAACAACAGAAACATGGTCTCCATCTCATTGGACCTTCCTAATTTCAAGCAGGCACATCTGCGTGGAGGAAGCTAAGATATATACGGAATTCAAACTGGAAGGGTATCTCGAAAATGTAGACTTCAGCTTTTTCCACCATAGCACACCCATGTACACAAATGAGTTATAAGTGTGTCCTATCTATCTCCTCAGCCTTCTGGGTAGCCACTAAGGGGTGGGCAGTCAAAGCATTCTCGGCCAGTAACCTCCTCACCTAGGACTCCCTAGAAGGTGCCCAAACAGGATGGGGTCTAATGGTCCACCTCTCTTTCATGGGGAAAGAGTATGAGAGGTATCTGGCCCTCGCTGCTGTACTATGATGTGTTGTGTGAAACAAGAATGTATCCAGTCACCTGGACAGCTACAGAAGCAGCCTGCTGGGGAATGAGCCACTGATCTTCATGGACAAGGGATCCTCTAGCTGCTGGATAATTTCACAGTAAAGTATGTTCGTCTGGGGTTTGAGGAATGCCAGCTCTCAAAGGTACAGCTCCATGTAGATGCCCCAAATTTCTGTCTTATGGATACATCTGTCTATATGCTTAGGATGTCCAAGCTAGTTGCAGGGTGTCTAACAACACATATACATTCTATAAATTAGAACTTCATCATTATTTGGAAATACTCAACGTGAAAAAATTCATTTGCATTTGCGATCCATTTGTATTATCACAAAAAAATACCAACATCACATTTTGTCAACAACAGAAAAAGAAGACTGTTAGGCTATAAATATAATTTTTGATTTTTGAATGGTTTTTAAAAGAGTTTTAAATTGTTTCATCAGCTACTTGTGTAAAAAAGTTTCTTGTGGATGGTAACTACCAAAAATTTGAAGAACTTATTAAAATGTCTTAATCAAGAATTGCATGTAACCATTTCAAGCATACAACTTGATATTTAATAGTTAGGTCTAGAAAGCAAGATCAAGCTTCTCATTAAAGATCCTGAAAACAAAATTTATTTGAAAATTTCATATAAAATCAATATTTAATATATTCCCTAATACTTTGGGTCTTACTGATTTTGTTTCTTACATCACATAAAGAAAATTTTTTTCTACCACGTTCCAAATGGACACCCCAAATGCTCTGCAGCTAGTGCTATGAAAACACTATTTTCTGTGTGTGCCATTGATCAGTGGTTTCCAGGGGATAGAGGGAAAGGCAGGGAGGAACCTTTTAGAGGTGATAGATATGTTCATTATCTTTGTTGTGGTGATGGTTTCATAAGTATATGTGTGCATATATATTGTCAAAACTTATCAAATTATGCACTTTAAATATATGCAGTTTACTGTATGTCAATTATACTTCAACACAGCTCTTCTTAAAAATATGTGAGGGAAAAAACCACACAGTGAATTCCAGAAAGGTGGTATTAATCTACATCCCACTAGCAATGTATGCAAGTGTTGCCTCATTACCCATTCGTCCGTACCATAATTCTTAAAGAAAAATCCCTGCTAATTTGAAAGGCAAAAATATCTCATTTGTTTGGATGTGCATATCTTTACCAGCAGAATGAAATTTTTTTGTGTTGATCAGCTCTTTCCCCATTTTTCTTTCATTGCCACAAAGCAATTAAGAATGCCAACACTAGTAATGCTAGTAAAACAATGCCTTTTTATCTGCCATGTCAATTGGTACAAACTCAAGAAATTACTACCAAAAAAGGTGGTTATAATATTCATAAATTTGTCCAATCCTTTGAATATGAATCATAATTAGCCACAAGAAGAAACTGATACACACTTAACATTTAAAGAATCAACTTTAGTTTCTTTAATAACAGAATATTTTCATCTTGTTCTGAAGCTTACTAAGGTTAAATAAACTTGGCCAAGTACACAAAATTAGATGATGTCCAATCTGGAACCAGAATCCAGATCTGGGACACAAGCTGAAGAGCAATAGAGGACGAACTGATGTGGAAATCAATGGTATGGATGAGACTTCAGAAAAATTAAATTATTTGAGCCTTAACTTCTTCACTCATAAATGAGGGAGATGCATTATATGATCACTAAATTTCCATTCAGCTCTAACCTTTTCTAAATGCAGGCTGGACAAGTTGATAAAACTTGATAGCTGTTGTCATACTACTGCAGTTTTTTTATTGCCAGCCTGGGGATCTTCCACTACTTTTCTTATAAGCCCCCATCGGCTCACATTCAAACTCTAGCCCTGCCCAACTGTCTGTGTAGCATTGGGCACATAACTTATCCTCATATTAGCGATGAGGAAATGAAGGCCCAGAAAGAATCATAACAGCAGCTACACCTCAAAGGGTTGTTAAGATAATGAAAAGAGAGAATACATATGAATACACATCAGAGCCTGGCACATAGTAAGATGTCCAGTAATTGCATGTCTCTGTACTTGGGGACAGAATAATACCAACTTACATGGAATCTGTGCTGTAAATTCCACAAGTGGCCATGTCTACTCATCACTTATTCCCAGCAAGTCAAATACTAGGTAGGTAGGTATACTGAACAAAATATTTGAACGTGAACAAATATTTGACCAAAAGAATGAACAAACATGATTGAAAAACAGTTCTCAAGTCTGATTCACAACACAGTTCAGCTATATATTTAACTTAAAGGACTTTATGAAATGGTGGGAGAGGTAAAGGGGGAGAAAGTAAGAGAAAAAAATGACCTCAACAGTGGCAAGAGTTATGGTGTTAGCAATTCACAGCCTATCAGTTTTACACACGTACGTATTATCCCATCTGCGTTTGTGTTATTATGGCCCATGAAACACCTCCACCTGCAATGTTTGCTACAAATGCAAATGCCATCCTCACCCATTTGTAACATGCTACCTCACTAAGGCTTACACTCTACAATTTAAGAACCTGGTCCAACTGCTATCTGACTAATGCTTGAAAATGACTTGGAATTATAACCCCAAGACTTAGAACAGATTATATAGCAGAAGTATAAATATACAGATTCCAAACACAAGGACTGCACATACCAACTTGTCTGTGACCTATCACAACTAAGAAACCAGTGTTTAATGCATCAAAACTAATGAGAAAAAATGAAACCTACAGCTCACGAATCTGTCAAATATCTGAGCACTAGAGGGAATAGGTATGCTTGGAAAATGATCCTTCTGGAATTTTCTCAGCATATTCTAAAATGCCAATAACAATATTTCTTCCATTCTTAAGACTGATTTTAACAGTAAACTGAAGTAACATTTTTTTTTTATAGTGAGCAGTCAGGTTAATTCCACTAACAAATGAATTATAGTCTTTATTAAAGTTATTTTTACAAATGCATGTCTCCTCATATGAAAAGGTTGCTTTTTACTTTAATATGTGCTTTGTAAATTTACATTAGCAGTAGGAAGGGCTTCAACTGAATAGATTTTAGTCTTCAAAAATGCGACTGCATTTTCCATCTCTAGTTTTTCCATCTCCCAGTTATTGACCTTATCAAAAAAGAAAAAGAAATCAGTTGTGAGAAGATAACATAAAATAAAAGCTAGTTTAGATATCCAAACATATTAAAGTAGCATCAACTCAACTGGTTTTATAAGCAAATGTTACCTTATAATTACTCATATTTTAAAGGCCTAATAACACTATATGCTAGGGTTGAAGAAAGCTCTAACAAATTTAAAGGTCCTCTAAATGGTGCAGAAATTACTATCTCGGGAAAATCTTCCTTAGAACATATATAATCTACAATATGAAAAACAAAGCCTTAAATGGTAGCCCATTAAAAGAAAAGAGCCATCTGATTCTCAGCAATCCACACATAAACCATTTCTGGATACTAAAGTACCATAATGGAAGATTCAAATGTCTACATTTCCCATTATGTGCAAGACCATAAGAGTGGCATTTAGATAGAGCCCAACATTAACATAAATGTGAATTTATTTGTAAGGTTCTTGCTACATACAGAGACACCTGAAAAGGCTGTTCAAGAAAAGCTGTGGTTCTTGGAATCAAAGTGAAGCATAAGAGGGAAGAGGAAGAGCCATCCTCTTACAACCATCCAGCTTTTTCTGGTAACAAACACACTGGCCGATGAAAAGAAAGTTTTAACATCTTTTCTTCCCTTGTTCAAGACAACCTAGAAACTGAATATGGTTTCATGTGTCTCAATTTAAATAAGAAAATATATTATTCACATTCTTCTTCTTCCTGGCAGCTGTTGAAACATACATCAATAATTGAAGACTATTTCATTTGCATTTTTTTCTTACCAAAATCACATGAAAACCCATTACATTCAAATGCCGCACTTTCATAGCAAGAAATCCTCTGGGGTGGCTTGAGTCCAAACAGTAAGTAGATCTAGAAACACACAGCACAGCTACTCTGAAAACAAAAATAAACAATGCAACAGTTATGGAGATTACCATTTACAATCCTGCTGCCTTCCTGCTCCTTGGAGATTTCAAAGTTGAGCCCTTACTTGGCCACAGTCCTCACCACTCCCGACTGTCTTAGTCCTTCACTTCTTTCTGTTACTTGGCTTCTGCAGATATAGTCCAGTATACAAAGGCTACTTTATAAACCAAAAGCTTATAATAATGCTTTACACAGTTATCCTCCAGCCACCTTTAAGGATGGCTACATTTTTGATAAGAAAAGAAAACACCCATTTTAAGGGTTCACTGTGCAGTGCTGATCCCTGATCCAAATATAATTATTTATTCTACCAGTAGAAATATTGGTGTACATAACACCAAATGGCAAATGCTCTTCCTGTACATATCATCTCCCAGAGGGAGCAGTATTTAAAAACCAGAACTGAGAGATCAAACATAAAGAAGAAAACCCTAAGAGAAAGGCAAGACTGTGAGAAAGATAAAATCTGTAAATGTAACAAAAAAATGTAGAGGTATGATTAGTTTTTTTATTATTCCTTGCATTTTGGAAATATTAAGTTCATTGGGAGAGAAAAAAAAAAAAGACATTTATATCGTTAGTGCCTGTCCTATACCCCGGCTGTTACAAGAGAAATCTGTTATCTTCAAAAGAATGCTCACTTTCCTCACTACTCAGCACTTTATGCTGGGAACCATGTTATTTTATTATGCCAGAACAGTAGAATGCTGAAAAAGAAAAATGATCTTTGAATGGGGTCAGAGAGAAAGCATTTTTTGAGGGAAGATGGACAGGGAAAATAGCAGTTGAAAAAGATAGCCAAGAAATAAGCTAGATGCACTCAGAAAGGGGTTAAAAGTCACAGAGCTGTATGTGAATGGACAGCAATGGGCAGATGAGAGTTTGACTCGCTTCAGATTTTTTTCTATACCTCTCTTTATCGTAATTACGTGCATGTCTAATAGAGTAACAGGGAATGTAAGTTCCTTGGGGTCAGGATCCATGTCTGACTCATTTTTGTGTGCCCCACAGGGCCTAAAAGAGCCTTTCCACAAAGGCTCACTGAACATAGGGGTATGTGCAATGACTACATAATCTTAATGCTTCTGCTGAAGAGGCAGGACAGCCTCTCAGTGTAGCACTGTATTTTTCCCACAGACCCCTATTTGTAATGTGTGAGCCAAGGAAACAACATGATTAGCTTCGATATGCTCTGACCCATACACAACACAGCTTATAAGAAAGCAAAAGTTTCTCTATCTTTGAAAAGGTTTGCTGGTAGAGCAAAATATTTATTGGGTATTTGATTTTTATAGAAGCCTCAAGTCTTTATGATCATTACTATATTATCTTGTCAACAGTTTACACTGCCCTAATAGTTTCAATTACGTTAACATTATTTTAGTGAACTATTAGCTTCAAAACCTAATTTTTAAAAAATGTCTATTTCATTAAATGGCCCAATTACAGTCCACTTTATTCAAACATAATGCCCACATTTACACCTAACGAGTAGATTCGGGGTGGGGGGGGAAGTCTCTTGGTAAGTTGCAAGCTCCACATAAACATAAGGTCTTAGTATTATTACTGCTACTTAATATGAAGTCTTTTAGAATTAAGATTTAAATTCAGAAATCCCAGAAATAAGTATATGTAAGCAACCTTTGAATATCTGTAGCAGAAGTTACATCCATGTCAGAAAATGGAAGCACTTGACTCCTGTTAGTATCCATTCTGACTTCAAAATCTAAAAGAAAAAGAATATTAGTTTTTCAAAGATTGCTCAAAATGATTTTGTTTCAACAGGTCTACTACTACTAATTATAATGATAATGGCAGTAATTAAAATATACTGAGAGCATACCATGTGCCAGACACTAGTCTAGGGATTTTACATGTATAATTTCATTTACTGGTCACAAGAACCCTATGAGGTAGGTACTATTATTATTGCCACTTTACATATAAAAAAGCGAGGTTGGTAAATGGCTGAAGTCCCAGCACTAGTAAGTCACAGAGCAAGAATCCAAATTCAGGAAGTCCAGCTACAAAGACAGCGCTACACTACACTAAACTGTCATGGTAAATTCCTAATCCTTTGTCAGAAAAAAAGGAAAAGAAATAAAACAAAGGGAAATCATATAAAGTCACATACCAATATGATAATTATGTGGCAACTGCACATTTTTCGAGAAGTAACCTTCACCTCCCAAAAGGCTACTGAGTGCCTCTGCAACCTTTGCATTTGGATATGACGGTGCTGGTGGCAACTGTGGCAGTGGTATGTCTATGGCTTTGTGATAAGGAGTATCATCAAGTTTTAGACAAGTATTCAAAATACAAAGCTTGTGAGCATTCCTCTCCATGTCACCTAAAGGAAAAAGGTAGAAAATATATCATTAGGAAAAAATATTAAAGCCACATTTTAACAATTGCATTAATGCACCTATATTTCTAATCATCTCTTTCTTATCATGAGGAATCTCTCTGTGTCTCCCTAGTTTCCCCAGCATCTAGATCAATGCCCTGTACTTGACAATGTTTTAAGGTTTAAAATATCTTTAGAGGGGATTTAGTATAAACTCATTTTGTAGATAAGGAAATGACCAGGAATGTTAAAAAAGTTTCATGACTAATTAAAGACAAAGTTGGGACTAGAATCCAGGTCTTCTGGGTTCAAGGCTGTGTCCCCAACATTACACTGCCTAAAATATCAGCACGTGGTATTCCTCTGTCACAACTCAATTTTGGGATTTTATAACATTGTTTTTAAAAGAATGTTAACTACTCTATTCTTACACACATCATCAAATTTTGTACATCTACCTGGATATTGCTTTTCCTTGTTTAATATAGAAGACTAAAAGTCAACAATTAATTTGGTGCTAAGATTAAATAAATTCACGAATTTGGTAGCTATTTGGTTTCTTGATCTAACAGGCTGTACCCTCATTACAGGCCATGTGTGACCAAATGTTTACAACTGCAAAAGTTGACTTAAGTTGGCTTCAAATGTAACATGCAAGGATTAGGAAATGCAAACAGCTCTGATCAAGGCATAAAAAACACGAACATTTAGCCTCTGTATAGGTGCATAGAGTGTAAATAAAAGGAATAATGATGATACATTCTTTGTTCTTTCCTTTCATATGTAGGATTTGTCATTTAAGAAGGCTCCAGAGGTTTGCTGGTTTGAAGCACTGACCTTTGACTTCACCATTCTATCAGTCCTTTCCTCGGTAACATCTGCTCTGCACATTTTAACTAACACTGCTTTGACTAAGACCGCATTCAGAATCACAAGGTAGCTAGTGATAGTGCCTATTTCAGTCACCATTGTGCACTGACATCCCACCTGATGTCAGCAGCTCACTGATGATGTCCTTTTGGAGAAGCTGATTAACAGGGGCCAAGGGGAAATAATTCATCAAGCAAAACGAAAGCACAGCATTCAATAGGTTTGCAGAAGAGATGTGGTGAAGACAACCAGTCAGTGCACTAGCCATAACTTCTAGGAACCTTCAGGGAACAAAGTAAAGTCAGTTTCAAATAAAAATAGAAAACAAGGTCATGGTAGAGCTAGTTAGACACCATAGAACCAACATCTTTAAGGAGTTCAAAAAAACAGAGGTAAGAAAATCAGGCTTGCAAATAAGTATCCACACATTGTTCTGCACAGGTGGCTATTTCCTAAAGAGTGCATATCGTCAATTAGTGTTGGGAATCACTATATGTCTTGTGTAGGACAAATGTTTTACAGGCTTGACTTGTTTAATTCCCGTTAAAACTCAAGGGGTCCTTGTTAGTATAGTGGTGACTGAAAAAAAAAAAAAGAAAAAGAAAAGAAAAGGAACTCTACGAGGTATAATAATTATTATTATCCTCATAATAAAAATGAGTAAACAGACTCAGAGAAGTTGAGTAACTTGTCTAAGAACACACAGCCAGGAAATAGCAGAGACAATATTGGAACCCAAGGACACACTCCAGAGGCTTTTAATCATTATGCTAGATTTCCTATAAGGCCTGGACCACCACTGCAGTTTTGTAACCAATTACAATTCTCTAGCTATCAACACTATGGGTTAAAAGAACTGCAAGCCTAATCCTACCACCCAGAACTAATGTTACACAGTATAACAAAGTACTGACACACAGATGAAGAGGGAAAAGACCAAAATTAGTAAGGTCATTTGCCCAGAGTGACACTGCTAATAAATGACACAGATACCCTTTGACCACATCAATCTGATTCTCAGGGCATATGCTACATATCCTTATATAAGAAAAAATGAAATATACGCAAAGTACTTCGATATTGCAGAGGAAAGAAAATAGGATAGTTTTGGGGAGGAGAATTTGAACAGGCAGAAAAGATGGGAAAAGGGTGCACACTATTGCATGATCGTTCATAACTACTAAGATGAAGGCACAGAGCAGTGATTCCTACAGCAGTGGGTGAATACGCCTGGAATAAAGCCCTTTTTAACAATGAGACTGTAAAGGCAAATGTTTGAGATCAACTGACAGGTCCCATGGGTAGAGGTGGGTAGGTCAGGGAGGGAAGGAGGCCATGGTAGACTAGGAGAACTGTTGGCGGTACAACAGAAGGGGAGGAATGCAACAGATCCTAGACACAAAGGGAGGCAGCACTTACTAAACTGATAACTGATTGCATTTGGAGTGTGCAGCAGAACAGGGTGGGGCTGCAGATGAGGAACTCTGGAGCCTGGGTGGTGACCCCTCTCCAGTTTCTCTCCCTCACTCTCACTCAGTACCTCATGCTGCAGCAGCTCCCAACTGCATGTTAGTCCTGCACATGCTCTTCTCCTTCTTTCCTCCAGGCCTGCGTGTAGAGCACCTCCTACTCACGATGTTCTCTCCTGCTTATCTTCCATGATGACCTCCTAACTACCCAGCTTTTAAGATCAGCTAACTCACCACCACCTCCAGGCAGCACTGCCTGACACCCAGCTGGTCCTTGTGCTTCGCTGGGCTGGCATCCTGGCACATTCCTCTTCTACTTCCATATATCCTGCATAAAACTCTGTCACTATCATTTTCCTGCTGTACTTAATTGCCAACTTATGCGTCCACATTACTCATTACATAGAATCCTCTGGCAAGGATTGTGTCATCTTATTCATCTTTGTCCTAAGCAGCCAGGTGCTCGGTAAATGTTGCTGACTAAATGAACTAATAAACTTAGATGAGGAAGACTGGAGGAGCAGCTTGTTAGTGGAAAAGGATGAGTCCAGAAATCAGTCTGGAAGCTGACTTCCAGAACTGCTGAACATGAGACACTTCTGGGATGTACAGTGACCATATGCAACCCACAGGAACCCAGAGATGCAAGTCTGGTATTATTCACAGTGTGGTTTAGATCAAGAAGAGAAGAAACCTAAGGGCTGAAATGACAGAGCTTAAATGTTAAATGTTTTCTTCCTTGGGTTTTAAACCCAGGAAGATACTTCGGATTTAACACATCTTCTCTCCCATAGGCCATAATATAAATAAAATGATTAATGTGTGGACACACAATGTGCTAAGCCAAATTTCCTACCACTCTCCTACCTAACCCATCTCTTCTAGTCAACCCCCTTCTTCAATGCTTTGAGTTACTGCTTCCAAAACCTCTGCTACCCCAGCCGAAGATGCCATCTTCCTTTCTCCTTCCTCCATAAAGCACCTGTTTGGTACCTACCATTTACTGCCTTCCTCTGGATGTACAAGACTTGTCCTCTTAACTGGTCTAGGAAGGACAGGGAACATAAGCTTCTTTTTTTATGTCCTTAGAGTACCAAGTTCAGGCAACTGCACATTTATGTGCATTCAGAAAGGTGTGACTGATTAATCTCAATATATTAGCCACACTCTCATTGCACCTATTTCTCCAGTGGAGAATTGTTGAGGTGAGAGGCTAAGAGTTAGATCAGGGTTTCTCAATCTCACCACTCCTGACATTTTGGGCTCGATAATTCTTTGTTGTGAGGGGCTGTTCTGTGCATAGTAGGATGTTAGCTGCATCCTGGGCCTCTACCCATTAGAGGCCAACAGGACACATACCCCTTCCAGTTGTGACAACTAAAAATGCTTCTAGATATCGACAAATATCCCTAGAGGGAAAATCACCCCTGATTGAGAACCACTGGATTAGATGAAAGCAGATGGCCAAAAGGACAACATTCATAATTCCCCTCCTGTAATAATTCTGCTACTGCTCTTTTATTGAATTTCCCAATGTTTACTAACTTTGTTATGCCCCTTCTATTTCCAATATAACAATTTTATTGGACCAAGTTATCTCTTGGGCTGCCTAGAGTCAGCTGGAAAACTTCCCAACTACCCAGTGTTTATTCTCTTAATCTCATTGAATCTGTGGAGCTGTTTCTGAAATTTTAATTACTGCTCAGCTTGACACTATTTGCCTAGAAAGTTCAGGAGGTCCACAGAAGCCAGCCACACCGGGGGAGTATAGAAAGTGTAAATTTGGGGGATAATTTTCAGCCTTTATTAACTGCCTATTCTGTGCTAGGCCCTATGCTAAAGTTCAGGAGAACAGGAACCTGGGTCTGACTCGAAAGCTTGCCAACTGAAGAGCAGACACAGACTTACTGACAATTAACTACAACCATGTGATCAAGTCTCCACCAGAGATCTGTGTGGGGTGTGACAAATACAGGCATTCTGATAGAGACAATTAGGGAAGGCACAGGAAATGCAGTATGAGCCGAGTCTGTGGGCAGCTGCCTTGTATTTGGCCCAGAACCCCTTCGTTGATTAACTGCCCCTAAGGGATGGGCATGAGACTCAAACTCAGTCAATCAGATTTTGTCTTCTGGAAATCTGAATCTAGATGGAAAACTACAGGCACAGAAAGCAGTTAGAGTTAAGCCATTTGATGGCAAAGAGATGGCCTACAAATCTTGCCACTAAGATTCTCAGAACTGCCCCAGTTTGTTCCTCCAAGTCCTCTGTGATCTACATTCTAATTTTTAAAAAAACCTAACAATTACTGTGTGCCAGGCATCGTTTTAAGAACCTGACATAGGTTAACTCATTTAATACAACTACCTAATGCCATTAAATATAACTCATCTCTATTTTAATAGATGAACAAACTGAGGCACAGAGAAGTAAGTTGCCAAAAGTCAAGCAGCTAATAAATGGCAGGACTGGAATTCAAACCTAAGCAAGCTGTCTCCAGAGTCTGTGCTATTAATCACTCTTCTAACAAATGACATTTTATATGTGTTTCTGGTTTTTAACGGACCTTAACTGATCCACAGAGGTAAGAAAAGATGTTTTGGGCGGAAAGCAGAAGTATGAAAGAGCCTGGCATGTCTGAAGAATTGCTGTGTTTAACAGCAGAAATGCATGGTTGTGGTCAAAGTAAAAAAAAACAGAAAGCAGGGCCGGCCCGGTGGCACACTGGAGAATGCGCCTCTTGGGAGCGTGGCGGCGCTCCCGCCGAGGGTTCGGATCCCATGTGGAGACCGGTTCCCGCTCACTGGCTGAGCGCGGTGCGGGCGCAACACCGAGGGTTGCGATCCCGTTGCCGGTCAGTAAAAAAGACAAAAAGGAAAAAAAACAAAAACAAAAACAGAAAGCAGTACCTTGGGACCAAATTAATAGTTAGGGTCAAAATTGAACTATGGGGAAGCAGCAAGATGGTGGAATAGGAAGGACAGCTCTTGTTGCCCTCCAGAAACACGAATTTCAACAAGGACATACAGACCAAAATACCATTATGAGAAGTCCCGAATCCAGTTAAGAGGTTGTAGTACTCTAGACAAGCACAAAACCAAGAAAGAACAGCTGCATTAAAACAGGTAAGAAGAGCAATTTCACTTTACCCATGTCAGCCCCTCCCCCAAGGTGGCACAGCTCAGCACAGAGAGACTGACTTGGCCCAGGACTTCTCCCTCAGAGCAAGAGAGTGGGGCATGCATCCAACATCCCAGCCTTTCAGTACATCTCCCACTGCCTGATAGGCTGGTTTCTTTCTCACCTCACATGAAGTACTGAGAAATTAGCATAGTTCAAATGCTTGGGGACAGTTAAGAACAATAGAAAAGGGGTGGGCAGCTTGTTGCACCCAGCATAGCTCCGTAAGATTGAGAGAAGGTGCAGAACCTGAGGGTTCACCCCCAGGAGGGAGGGAGAGCAGTGGAGCATGGCTTCAACACCAGCCTTTTGGTGCGATGTCCAAGAGGCCAGTTTCAGTCTTGCCTTACAAGAAGAGCTGATGGAATCAGCATAGTTAGGAATCCTGAAAGGGGTTGGTGGCTTGCAGCAGCCAGCACAACTCTGGAAGACTGGGAGAAGGGCAGAACGCAAGGCTTCTCCATCGGAAAGAAGAGAGGGGAGTGGAACATGCCTTCAATGTCCCAGCCTGCAGTACAGCAGTCAGACACGAGAGGGACCAAGAAATTACGAGCTCCTGAAAAAAAGAAACCAATAAATCTCTTTACTTAGGAATCCACATGCACATCCACAGAAAAGGTCTGAAAGGCTCC